CCCAATTAGGCTGTACAGAGACCATAGGTCTTTATACAGGCAGCCCAATTGGGCTGTATACAGACCATAGGTCTTTATACAGGCAGCCCAATAGAGCTGTATAGAGACCATAGGTCTTTATAAAGCCCAATTATAAAGCCCTATTGGCCTGTATACAGACCATAGGTCTTTATAAAGCCCAAATGGCCTGTATACAGACCATAGGTCTTTATAAAGCCCAATTGGCCTGTATACAGACCATAGGTATTTATAAAGCCCAATTGGGCTGATACAGACCATAGGTCTTTATAAAGCCCAATTGGGATGTATACAGACCATAGGTCTTTATAAAGCCCTATTGGGCTGTATACAGACCATAGGTCTTTATAAAGCCCAATAGAGCTATATACATACCGTAGGTCTTTATAAATCCCAATAGAGACCATAGGTCTTTATACAGACAGCCCAATTGGGCTGTATAGAGACCATAGGTTTTATACAGGCCAATTGTCTGTTTAAAATTGATTCGTTCTAAGACAATTGGAATTTCCAAACTGTATTAAAAAACCAAATTTTGTAAATTTTTCAGATTTTAATTTTTTTATTTTTATTATTTTTTAATTTTTCTTTTGTTAATATTAATATTTTGTTTTTCTAAGGATTTTATTTTTATATTTTTATATTATTTTATATTATATTTTTGATTTTTATTCTGAAAATTCATTTTTTGGAAGGTCGTCATGGGAAGTGTAAAATCCCGTCGTTCAGTTGTTGCACTGCTTTTAAGAATGTGAATTCATAGAGACCATAAATGCATTTTTGTGAAATATAAACGAATATATAGATATGAATATTATTTAAAAAAATACTATTTAGATATGTATTACAAATACACAATGAAATGATAATCATTAAAACTAATTTGAAAAAAAAAAAATATATACAACACTTGAAGCGAAACGAAAGAGAATTAAAAGTGCATTTAGGTTAAAAAACAACATCATTTTGAAAAGTTGCTTACATTTTTTCTTTTCAATTTAAATTAAATAAAATTCCTAAAACGAAAAGAATCACAAACAAGTGTGGACAACAGAATTTCTTTATTTTAAATCCCAAATGTAAAAAAAATATGGAATTAATTACAAAATAGGTGCATCACACACACAAGAAATTTTTAATCATAAAAAAGTGAAATGTTTTAAAACAAAAAAAAAAATATCGAAATATTAAAAATGCGCAAATCACCAAACAAGAAAAGGATTTAAATCATCACAATACTACACACACACCGACTTACATCATGACAAAAATAATAACAAAAAATATATATATTAAAATCTGTTAATATTCTAATGACAAATAATATTAATATTATTGAAATTCACAGAACAAAGAAAATTAATGAAAAGTAACGCAAAAACAATGAAGATAACTTAAATAAATAAATAATATAAATAACAAAAAAGCAACAAAAATAAAACAAAAACAAATACATTCTTCCAAAATAATAATAATATGAGTTTGTTTTATTACGAAATTGGTATATTGGCGAGGGTGTTATATCTATTTTCATTACCAGGTGCCAACAGACATGGTTGCATCTACACATGATCGATCTTATCTTCCTGCATTAGAGAAATATGAAAATATCCGCTACTAAATCCACCAGCCACACAACGATTTTTTTTAAGTTGGGCGCCATTTATAAACAATTTAAATTCTGATTTAACAACTTCAAAGGATTACTTAATGACGGAGGGCACAGTCTATTGCATAAAATTAAAAATGACAATGCCATTTTAAGTTTTGCCACGTTGGGCGCCAAATTTAAAATTTTGAATTACTGTCAATTTTCTTCGGACGAATAATCTGTCTTAAAAAAAAAACTAAAGACATTTTTTGAAGGTCGTCATAGTCGATCCTATGGCGAAGTGTAAAATCGTGTGGTTCACTTTACGTTGGGCGTCAATTATAAAACAAATTAAATTCCGCTTTTCGTCCATATTAAATTGTAAACAAAGTACAGTTCAAATTTATGATTCGATTTGAATGAAATTTGGCACAGCCAATCTGTTTGGCCCAAGGACGATCCCTATGGAAAATGGGAAAAATCGATTCAGACTTAGATATAACTTCCATATATATATTTTCGTCCGATTTAATGTAAATGGTGAAACAAAGTCCCTATATATCTTTCGATTTGCAAGTAATTTGGCATAACGTGCTTTATTAAGTCCCAAGTGATGTGTGCTAAGTTTCGTGAAAATCGGTTCAGATTTGGATATAGCTCCTATATATACTTTTTTCTCCGACTTTAAGTGAGTGATGCACCAATGACCCAAAATATGGTCGATAGGCACAAAACGTAGTGAAATTAGTATAACCTTACCTGTGACAAGTTTCGTTGCAATCGGTTGAGATTCAGATATAGCTCCGATATATAGTATTGTCCGCTTTTAAGTAAATGGTGCACCAAAGGCCCAATGTTAGGCCGATTGCCACAAAATTTTGCGCAGCGTACTGAATTAGGTCGAAATTATTGAAGAAATCGGATCAGATTTAGATATAGCTCCCATATAAAGTTCCTTCCGATTTTAAGTAAATGATGTACCAAAGACCCACAATTAATCCGATTGACACAACATTTTGCAATTTTTATACTCTACACAACTATGTTGTCAGGGTATAATAGCTTTGTGCAGCCCCAAAATTTGTAACGCCGCGAAATATTGGCCCTAGACCCACCTTTAAGTATACCGATCGTCATATCTCGACTAGCTGAGTCGATCTAGACATGTGTGTCCGTCCGCCTGTCCATTATAATTTGTAAACACGATAAAGGCCACAGTTATGGACCAATCTTCACGAAATTTTGCATGTAGGATGGGTTCTGGCCAATGAAGACCCCTATTGTTTTTGAAAAAGATTGGTTAATATTTAGGGGATGAAATGGACCATGGCTGTATGTACTCCGATGCTGGAGTTATACGTAATTATGTAAAGGGGACTATGTGCATATTATTACTATTACTCCATTAGAGGACGGAAATGTCGCCCTGATCGCTTTGAAATTGTACATGAAGTTCCGACTATGGTCAAGGACGACGCTTAAGGTTTTCGGTGAAGTTGAGATTTCATTCAGGGGGTGCAATGAACCGAAAACTTTAATTTTGTCAGATTTTCTAGTCGCTTTAGAGGTAATTATTATTGGGCCCCAAGGGTCCCGACGAATTTTTTTCTATAGAAAAAAAACTTGGGCCCCAAGGGTCCCGACGAATTTTTTTCTATAGAAAAAAAACATGGGCCCCAAGGGTCCAAAAAAAAAACTTGGGCCCCAAGGGTCCCGACGAATTTTTTTCTATAGAAAAAAATATCGGCCCCAAGGGTCCCGATGAATTTTTTTCTATAGAAAAAAATATCGGCTTCAAGGGTCCCGACGAATTTTTTTCTATAGAAAAAAACTTGGGCCCCAAGGGTCCCGACGAATTTTTTTCTATAGAAAAAAAAACATGGGCCACAAGGGTCCCGACGAATTTTTTTCTATAGAAAAAAAACATGGGCCACAAGGGTCCCGACGAATTTTTTCTATAGAAAAAAAAAACATGGGCCACAAGGGTCCCGACGAATTTTTTTCTATAGAAAAAAAAACATGGGCCCCAAGGGTCCCGACGAATTTTTTTCTATAGAAAAAAACATGGGCCCCAAGGGTCCCGACGAATTTTTTTCTATAGAAAAAAACATGGGCCCCAAGGGTCCCGACGAATTTTTTTCTATAGAAAAAAACATGGGCCCCAAGGGTCCCGACGAATTTTTTTCTATAGAAAAAAACATGGGCCCCAAGGGTCCCGACGAATTTTTTTCTATAGAAAAAAATATCAGCCCCAAGGGTCCCGACGAATTTTTTTCTATAGAAAAAAAAACATGGGCCACAAGGGTCCCGACGAATTTTTTTCTATAGAAAAAAACATGGGCCCCAAGGGTCCCGACGAATTTTTTTCTATAGAAAAAAATATCGGCCCCAAGGGTCCCGACGAATTTTTTTCTATAGAAAAAAATATCGGCCCCAAGGGTCCCGACGAATTTTTTTCTATAGAAAAAAATATCGGCCCCAAGGGTCCCGACGAATTTTTTTCTATAGAAAAAAATATCGGCCCCAAGGGTCCCGACGAATTTTTTTCTATAGAAAAAAATATCGGCCCCAAGGGTCCCGACGAATTTTTTTCTATAGAAAAAAATATCGGCCCCAAGGGCCCCGACGAATTTTTTTCTATAGAAAAAAACTTGGGCCCCAAGGGCCCCGACGAATTTTTTTCTATAGAAAAAAACTTGGGCCCCAAGGGTCCCGACGAATTTTTTTCTATAGAAAAAAACTTGGGCCCCAAGGGTCCCGACGAATTTTTTTCTATAGAAAAAAACTTGGGCCCCAAGGGTCCCGACGAATTTTTTTTTCTATAGAAAAAAACTTGGCCCCCAAGGGTCCCGACGAATTTTTTCTATAGAAAAAAAAAAACTTGGGCCCCAAGGGTCCCGACGAATTCATCAATTGTCGCCTCTGGGAACTGGTCAATCCTTTTGATGTTCGGTTAGCAGAAAGGAATTTCAGGGACATCATCACAGTTGCAGCCGTTCGCTATATACCTGCTGAAGATCTTCTGCCTGGATAGAGCACAAAGTATCTAACCAAAGTCTTCCCCAACAATTTGCGATCCCTGAAAATGGGTGGGCTGGTTCCGTTGCTGAAGCCAGGGTAAACCTACATATCTAAATCATTAGAAAAATTAGACCGAAACCGAATGAAAAGCAAATAGAGAGTCACCAGAAAAGCAAGAGCTGGAGGAGAACCTTCCCAAAGATGGCTACTGTATGTGGATCATAACAAAGGTCTTCGTATGTTATTAAAAAAAGTAAATTTCCATTTCCAAATTAAAACATTTATTTATTTTATTTACCTTCTAATATAAGTATATAAACCCCTATAAATACAAAAACAAAACAAAAAAATATTTGTTTATATATTTTTCTTATGCAAATGTAAATGAAGTATCTGTTTCCAAAAGCATTTCTTCCAAACGTAAACCCAAACGTTTGCGTTTAACATCGATTGAAACTACCGAAACGGTAACCCGATCACCAATCGATAATTTAGAATTTCCCATTTTACTAACATGAATCAGACCATCACATTCAATGCCCACATCGACAAAGGCTCCAAAATGTGTTATATTTGTAACGGCACCAGTTAGCACTTCGCATTCGCTTAATTCCGTAATTCTGGTTAAGCCCTGTTTAAACAATGGCTTCTTATCGAAATCGCTACGATAATCCTTGAATAATTCACGTTGCAATGCTTGGAATACAACATCCAACTAGAAGGGGAAGAAAAAGATTAAAGGATTTATTGAAATGATCACAATTTATTTTCAAACTTACTCTCTCTTTAGGTGTTTTGAATTCCTTGGCCAAAGTTTCAAGATTATGCGATTTGACATAATCACCGATTTTGTCAATAAACTCTGGTGTACCAATATCATCCAATTGTAGTTTACATTTTGAAATTATTCTGTAAAGTAAAATATATATTTTTTTATAAAAAACATTAATTGCTTAAAATGACTCTCACTTTTTGGCCACATTATAACTCTCAGGATGCACCCAAGTACAATCGAGTAGATTTTCAATACGTCCTCCTAAACTGCGAGGATCAATGCGTATGAAACTAAAAAAGGAAAATAGTTTTTAATTATTCATATTCTAAACTGTCACTTCGATAATGCCCCCTACCCAGCACATTGTACAAATGTCTTTTCACCAATTGTCTTAACCTGCATTAAATCTTTGCGTGTCTTAAATGGACCATTTTCGGCACGATGTTGCAAAATCTTTTCAGCCTTCTTTTCCGACAAACCAGCAATGTGTCTGGAAGAAAGAAAATACATTATTTTTTTTTTTTAATTTTCCAATGTTTTCTTTTTAACCTCAATAATGTACTACTTACTTTAATACCGTTATACTTGCTGTATTGATATCAACACCCACATAACTTACACACTCCGACACCACTTCATTGAGCGATTCACTTAACTGCTTTTCATTGATATCATGTTGATACATACCCACACCTATGTGACGTGGTTCAATTTTAACATATTCACTTAGCGGATCATTAAGACGTCGTGCAATCGACACTGCACTTATTTCATTCATATCCATATTGGGAAATTCTTTTTTAGCTATCTCACTGCATGAGTATATTGAGGCACCTTGTTCCGATACAATACTATAAAGTATTTGATTTGAATCCAAAATGCCCAATTCAAAAAGTTTCGATAGCCAAAATTCCGTTTCCCGGCAGGCAGTACCATTGCCCAAGGCAATTAAATGGCATCTGTAAGAAGGAGCAGAAAATTAAAGCGCATTTATTAATTAAAGGATCAGAGGAAAGAGCTGTAAGGTCTTTATATAGAAGAACTGCAAATTATTCGAATAGAAGAGCTGAAAAGTCTTCTTATAGGAGACCAAACAGGTCTTATTATAGAAGGCCAGAAAGGTCTTTTATAGAAGTCCCGAGAGATATTCTTATAGAATGCCTGAAAGGTATTTTATAGAAAGCCAGAAAAGGGGTTATTATAGAAGGCCAGAAAGGTCTTATTATAGAAGGCCAGAAAGGTTTTATCATAGAAGGCCACAAAGGTCTTATCATAGAAGAAGTCTTTTTTAGAAGAACAGAAATGTCTTCTTATAAAAGACCAGAAAGGCCTTCTTTAGAAGGCCAGAAAGGTCTTCTTATACAAAGCCAGAAATCTCTTCTTATAGAAAGCTAGGAAGGACTTCTTATAGAAGGCCGGAATGGTCTTCTTATAGAAGACCAGAATGGTCTTATGTAGAAGGCCAGAAAACTTTTCTTATAGGATACCAGAAAGGACTTCTTATAGAAGGCCAGAAAGGTTTTCTTATAGAAGGCCAGAAAGGTCTTCTAATAGAAGGCCAGAAAGGTCTTCTTATAGAAGGCCAGAAAGGACTTGTTATAGAAGGCCAGAAAGGTTTTCATATAGAAGACCAGAAAGGTCTTCTTATAGAAGGCCAGAATAGTTTTTATAGAAGGCCAGAAAGAACTTCTTATAGAAGGGCAGAAAAGTCTTATTATAGAAAGCCAGAAAGGTCCTCTTATAAAAGGCCAGAAAGATATTATTATAGAAGGCCCGAAATGTCTTCTTATAGAACGCCAGAAAGCTATTCTTATAGAAGTCCAAAAGACCTTCTGATAATAGACCAGAAATTTATTTTTAGAGAAGTCCATAAGATATTCTTATAGATGACCGAAACTACTTTTATACAAAACTAAAAGGTCTTCATATGGAAAACCAACAAGTCTTCTTATGGATGACCAAATTGTCTTCTTATAGAATACTTATTATAGAAGAGCATTTTTTTCATGTCATGCTTACTTGTGTCTTTTTAAAATCTTTGCCAATTTTTCACCCCATTCTTCAGGATCCGCGTTACGACGATGAGGATATATAACCCCCGTCTCCAAGACGTCAGCAGTTTCTGATATTACGGCAATTTTACAACCATTTGCAAAACCAGGATCAATACCCAAAATACGTTCACCCTTTAGTGGTGACATTAGCAGCAATTGTTTAAGATTTTTGGCAAACACATCAATGGATGCTTTCTTTGCCGATTCATTTAAATCCGAGCGAATTTGACGTGATATTAATGGTTGTACTGTGTGTGTGTGATAAACGGAAAATTAATCAATAAATATTTGTAATGATGTATCTAACAGTCATACTTACATTTTTTACTATAACATTCTTCAAAAGATTTATTAAAGATTTCCAAACGTAAGGCGTACTTATCGCCCTCTTCCAAAAATATAGAACGTACGTAACGTTCCAGTTCATTCTTAAAATAATCATTTACGATTATTTTTACCGAAAGGAATTTTAATTTTTCAGCACGATTTATGGCCAAAACCTGATGTGGTTTTAAATAGCGTACATCATTCGAGTAGTCATAGTACATTTCATATTTGCTTGCATCATTTTTATTATTACCATGATGATGATGACCACTAGTTGATGGCTCCTCTGATGCTTTCGCACCATCCTTGGATGGTTTAAGTTTGGAAGTTTTAAGGGTAATGCGATGGACCTTTTGCCTAAAAATCAATTATGTTATTGCAATGTTTATATTAATTTATATTCATGAAGCTTACAAACGCCTTATTTCTTCCAAAACTCCCGTATGTTTACTTATATTGTGGGATATAATGTGGCATATGCCATTGAATACCTTTTCCTCGTTATCCAAATCGGGATTTTTACGATCAACAATGCTTTTCAAATGAACATGGGGCGATTCACCATGCAGCAAGCGATCAGTATACTCTTCCAAACCCAAGGCTTTGGCCCGTTCGGCCAAAGAACCACGACTGGCTGGTTTGTATGGGGCATACTGAAATTATAATAAAAACAGAGATTAAATAGTCAAATAGCTTTTGTTAATAGAACACCTACCAAAAATTCCAACTCTTCCGGTGATTTGGCACACAACATTTCCGTACGAATGTCCTCGTCTATAACATTTTCCTTTTCCAAGGTCGTCACAATCGTTTCAGCTTTTTTACGCAAATTCACAATTTCCGTATAACAAGATTTAATTTCACGCAACTGTTCCGGTTGTATGTGATCGATTAGATCGCGACGATAACGACATATAAATGGAATGGTATTTTCATTTTCAAAAAGATTAACAATATTTTTGGCAGCTCTGGGTTCAATATTCGTTGTTTCAGCCAACAACTCGTCAATGGTCCAAATTTTTCGTCGTGCTACATTCGAAAAATAAGACCTTTAATAATAAAATCGAATAAAAGTAAGGATCACCTGTTACACTTACCCCAAAAACTACTTCTTCCCTGTATTTTCTGTGGCGGTGGATGTGGTCTCACATCACAGCCATCATCTTCAAAGCTATCATTTTGTTGAAAATCCATTGCCGTTGCATGGCTGTGACTTTGACCATCTGTCAGATCCCCTACCAAATCAATAGATTCCACAACATTATCGCCATCATTTGGTAATGCATTTGGTGGAGTATTTTCATCTTGTATTACTTCTTCTTCTTCTACTTGATCTTTTGCTGCTGCCTTCTTTGTGCCTCGGGGCTTACGTGTGGTTGCGGCCTTTGTTCGCTCCTTTTTCTCCTTTGGCTCCTTCTTCTCTTTCGGTTCCTTTGTTACTGTCCGTGGTTTCCTTGTCACAGTTTTCGTTGCCTTCCTTGGCCTTTTCTCCGGCGACTCTCCACTGTCCTCCTCGTCATTATCACTTAATTCAATAACTTGCACAGCTTTTATAGCAGCTTTCCTTTTGGGCCTTGTAGAGGTGGACATGTTTATGCTGGATACCCACGGTTGGGATACTGTGTATTCGTTCGGTCGTTGAGTTTGAATGAAAAAATGCGCGGTTTCAAAGGCTTTTCGCAACCATAAAAATTGAAAAAACGTTCCACTTGCTAACGAATGGGAGAGAAGTCAAAATGACCGATAAACACGAACTCAAAGTGGAATAACGAAATATTTACGAATGGGTTGCAAGGAGAATGCTTCAGAACCGCATTGTTAATTGTTAACACACAGATCGCATTTAACAGGGTGACTCATGAATAATATAATTATCATCTGTTTATTGAGGTGATTTGGTCTCATGTCAAACTGGCGTATGAAAGGTTATTATATAATAGAAACGGAATTATATATATATATATATAGTTCGCTTTTAACAAACATATGTATGATCTTTTAATTACAATGTGCGACAAATTTGAATTGCCCCCTTTTTAGTTTACCTCCCGACGTAAACTTCCAAACGCCAATACACGGGTCTTCTTTTTTTAGCCCCACATTCATAAGCGGTGTACACACTATCATTTTTGAATGACACTCTTGCTGAAATATCGGTTTGCTTGCCAGTGTGGCCGTTAATTTCTCTCAGTCATCAGGCAACCACAAAAAAAATTATGGTTGTGTGACATTCTGATGTTGGATATTTGTTGGTTCGATAATGTGAACATAAAAAACGACAGTCAGACAATAAATTTCAACAATAACATGGACTCCGAAAACGAATTTTTAAAAGAATTCCTATGTTGCTATAAAATGCAACGGTGTTTCTGGGACATAACCAGTCCAGAGTACATGTCACGCGACATAAAAATGATGAACTTGAATCGTTGGACTTCAGAACCAAAGCCGAAGGGGGACGCATGGAAATCAACAACTGGATTGCAAAGGTAACACGCAACGAAATCCCCGAAATGTTAAATCCCTGTGATATTACCTCCGACAGTTAAATGGTTTTGGCTAATGCTGCCTATTTCAAGGTTCAATGGTCGGATAAATTCGATTCCAAAGATACAAAACAGGAGATTTTCTATACCACCCCTTATCAGTATTCTTTCGTACCTATGAGGCATAAACGTGGAGAAATTGGAATTGGTACAGATTATGCGCAAATTGGGCATCAACAATCTGTTCTAGCATACCGCCAACTTGAGTGGCTTCTCCACGGAAACAAGCCTGATGTTTGGTGATGCCAAACATGTTGCAAAATCAAGGTTGATGAGGAGGGCAGTACTGCTGCAACAGCCAGAGTTGTTTTCAGTTTCCGTTCAGAACGTGCCGCCGAACCAACCAAATTCGAATGTAATCATCCATTTATGTTCCTGATCTATGATAATACCGCCAAGGCTGTACTCTTCACAGTCATTTATCGTGATCCCAAAACACAAAAGTAGACAGGCTAGGAGATTCTTTCACATATCTCTGCCCTAGGACTTTTTTACTCGTCTCGTTTCCATTCTATTTGTTTGTTTATTCTTCTTCTTTCAATTTAATTTCTACTGCTGCAGCTAATTTGCCCTATTCTCTCTGTCTATTGTTTTGTTTATAAAAAATGAGGACGTGCTTAATTTTCGTTTTATATGCTTTATTTTTTTAATATTATTTTATTATTTTTTGTTTTGTTTATAATAATTATTTTTATTTTATTTAATTTGTTTTTCTGTATATTTCGAATAAATAATAATAATAACAACAATGACCGTTAGGGCAATTTATGCAACAACAAAATGAAAAAATGAGATAGATACAGGTTCTTTTTGAAAACATGCACAGAATCACTTTCTGAGTAGATTTATGCACGTCCGTCGTCTGTTGATGTTAAATTGTAAACAAAGTACGGGTCACATTTACGATCCGAATGACAATTTTGAGCGAATTGTATTTAAGCTGATTTATCAAAAAAAATCGCCCATAAAAATCCACATAATGGTCAACAACAATCTCACAAAAAAATTGTGAGACCGAGATTTCCTTAAGAAACCAATAAAATTCGGAGCCTATTTTTGATTATTATTGTTAAAAATTCACATCCAATTTTTTATCATCCATTTTTATTAATATATATTTTTTTTACGGCGTCTTATTAGCACAATTTATAAATTTGAATGTCGGTTTGAAAAAAGGCATGAATGATAATATGGCCGCTACAAACAACACAACAAAACTGTAACAACCGATAAGTTATCGAAACTGTCACTCAAAAATGATAGTGTGTACACCGCTATAATCTGTTGGAATTTCCCGGTAATTATTTTTTGTGTTGCACAGTGTTATTATTATAATAATTATTATTATATAATTATTTGAAGGTTAAACCGATGCAAGGTGACATCAGAGGTTGCAAAATATAGATTTAAACGGAAGATATATTTTTCGCTTTGTTAAATTTCTGCTTAGCCCTTAAATGTTTCTGGAAAAGTAACCAGACACACCTAATATTTTACTGTGGATTGCGTGAATTCTCATTTTACAGTGGATAGCATTAAAGAATATCACATTAGTTCCGATGTTCATTACAGTGATTTTTTAAATTGTACAAGACCGGACTGCAAGGCAACAACAACAACCATATGATTTCATAAACCGGGGAAAGGAAGATCTTCCGGGTGTTGATCCTTGTGGCATATATAAATTTTAAAACAATATGTCCCTGTTTAGAGCAATTTGTTTGCAACTATGCAAGCACCTACCAAATGTTTCCAAACGATGCATCAGCACAAAAGACATACGTAACATTGGCATATTGGCGCATATCGATGCCGGTAAGGAACACGCAACAAATTTATGAATGAGGATCGACATTATTCCCTTCTAGGAAAGACAACAACAACTGAACGTATGCTATTCTATTCGGGTAAGACACGGTCATTGGGCGAGGTTCATCGAGGAAATACTGTAACTGATTATTTAACACAAGAACGTGAACGTGGTATAACAATATGCAGTTCAGCGGTTACATTTCATTGGAAGGATAAGAAGTGAGTGAGGATAATTATGTACAGTAAATAAATTATTTAATGTATGTGTGTAGAATTAATCTGTTAGACACCCCGGGCCACATAGACTTCACAATGGAAGTGGAACAATCTCTTTATGCTGTTGATGGTGTCGTTGTTGTGTTGGACGGCACCGCCGGTGTTGAAGCCCAGACTATGACGGTATGGTCACAGGCTGAAAAACATCGTTTACCCAAAATTAGTTTTGTCAATAAAATGGATCGTCCCGATGCAGATTTCTATAAATGCCTATTGGATTTGAAGAATAAATTAGATGCTAAGCCAATATCTCTGCAATATCCTTTAAAGGATGCCAAGGGAAATTTGTGTAAGTTATTTATAAAATCCAAAATATATTCTATGTACCTTTAAATAGTCTGTATAATCGAGTTTCCACCTCTTTTTTCTTCTTCAGCTATTTATGATATAATTCGTTTGGAGCATATCACATGGAATGCCCAAAGTTTGGGACGCATTTATGAATCGAAACCGGTGACCGATGAAAATGTACTCTTAGAATTACAAGATAAACGAAATGCCTTAATCGATCAACTATCGGGGGTCGATGATAACTTAGCCGATTTTGTCATTAGCAATGATGGTTTTGATAAGGTCAGCAATGATTTAATATATACTGCCCTACGACAAGCCACATGCCAACAAAAAATTGTACCTGTTATGTTGGGATCAGCATATAAAAATGTTGGTGTCCAGAGTTTAATGGATGCTGTCATCCAATATTTACCACATCCCAATGAACGTAATCAATTATATGATTGTTTTGAGTATGTAGATGAAGCCAAAAGAAACTTGATGCAACTTTCTTATATTTATTATAATGAATGATTTAGAAATGATTTTGTAGGTAAAGTTTTTAAAATTGTACACGACAAGCAAAGAGGTCCTTTGACATTGGTGAGAATATTGCGGGGCGATCTTAAGCGGAGTATGCGTTTAACATCAACTCGGGGACAATCAGAAGTAGTGGGTAAAATGTATGAACCCTTGGCTGATGAATATAGGGAGATACAAACGGCCCAGGCAGGTGATGTGGCCTTGTGCTCGGGATTGAAGGTACGGTTTTTTGAAACATACCCTAAGAAAATTGCAAATAATTACATTTTGTTATTTACTTGTAGCACACTGTAACCGGGGATTTGCTGGTAACAAGTACAACCTCTTTGAAAAATGCCCAAAAACGTTTACAAAAATCTTTAGATAAGAAAAACGACAACATAACCCCAACCCTGGAAGATGACGATGAAGTACAGGTGGATCTAATAAATGAAATATTTTCATTGGAACCCCAAATACCAGATGCTGTATACTTTTGTTCCATAGAACCACCCAGTTCGGCCTATCAAAATGCAATGGAATTGGCATTAAAACAATTACAACGAGAAGATCCAAGTCTGAGAGTATCCTTTGATACGGTCACCGGTCAAACTGTATTGGGTGGTATGGGTGAACTACATATGGATATTATCAAATCACGCATCTTGACAGAATATAAAATCGAGGTGGATTTGGGTCCACTACAAATTGCTTATAAAGAAACAATTGAAAATCCTGCCAAGACCACTTTCACATTGGAAAAAGAAATTGCCGGTTCCAAGCAAAGTGTAACCATTACATTGGAATTGGTTAAAGATAAGAAGGAGCTGTTCGGTTTAGATAAATCTCCAGAAAATACAAATAATTTATTGGCTATAAGGCCACGAACTTTGCAAGTTATACGCAAGGGTTGCATATCGGCCTTAGAAAGAGGACCCAAGGTTGGGGGTCAAGTTGTGGAAACTCAAATACGTTTGCATAACATCACCATAGGCAGGGGCACGGCGGATTCATTTATTATGGCTGCAGCGGCCCAGTGTATACAAAAGGTAATTCTCACCAATTTAAACAGAAATCAAAATTAAAAAAAAATATGTTTCCTCTCTTTAGATTCTAACCGAAAACGGAACACGTCTACTGGAACCCATAATGTCATTACAAATCGTTGTACCCAACGAAAGAACATCAGGCATCTTAGCAGATTTGGGTAGAAGGCGAGCCACAATTAATGATGTTATGCCCAAGGGTGATAAAAACAAATTGATTTTAGTCAATGCACCATTAGCCGAATTGTCGAATTATTCAAGTATATTACGTACAATTAGTTCGGGTACAGCAAGCATGACAATGCAACCATATGGTTTCACTCCCATGAATACCAATGATGAAGAATTGGCAATACGAAGGGCCCAGGGATTTGAATAACACGATATGGAAAATGTTGTTATTTATTGAAAAGTTATTTTGTTATTTTAGTTTGTAATTAAAATGTAACAATAAAATAATTGGAAAAAAATCAGTAGTGTTGGCGGGTTATTTGGGATATTTGTTTCTGCAAAATAGTCAGAATCCAAAAAAAAAAAATGTTCTTAATAATACAGTTTATTGTGATATTTCTAAAAGCTTTCTTAAAGAAATGATTTTTAGACGAGCAGAAAGTGTTTTTAGACTAGCTTAAAGGAGACTTTTTAGACGAGATGGAAGGAGTCTTTTTGACGCGCTGATCCTCGGAGTATTTTTAGACGAGCTGAAGGGAGTCATTTTAGAAGAGCTGAAGGCAGTATTTTTCGTCGAGCTGAAGGGAGACTTCATAGACGAGCTGAGAAGTGTCTTTTTAGACTAGATGAAGGGTGTCTTTATAGACGAGCTGAAGGGAGTCTTTATAGACGAACTGAAGGGAGTCTTTTGAATAACACGATATGGATGGAAAATGTTGTTATTTATTGAAAAGTTATTTTGTTATTTTAGTTTGTAATTAAAATGTAACAATAAAATAATTGGAAAAAAATCAGTAGTGTTGGCGGGTTATTTGGGATATTTGTTTCTGCAAAATAGTCAGAATCCAAAAAAAAAAAAAATGTTCTTAATAATACAGTTTATTGGGATATTTCTAAAAGCTTTCTTAAAGAAATGTTTTTTAGACGATCTGAAGGGAGTCTTTATAGACGAGCTCTGAATGGAGTCTTTATAGACGAGCTCTGAATGGAGTCTTTATAAACGAGCTGAATGGAGTCTTTAAAGACGAGCTGAAGGAGTTTTAATAGACGAGCTGAAGGGATTTTTTTGGACAATCTGAAGGGAGTTTTTTTAGACGAACTGAAGGGAGTCTTTATAGACGAGCTCTGAATGGAGTCTTTATAGACGAGCTCTGAATGGAGTCTTTATAAACGAGCTGAAGGGAGTCTTTATAGTCGATCTGAAGGGAGTCTTTATAGACGAGCTGAAGGGAGTCTTTATAGACGAGCTGAAGGGAGTCTTTATAGACGAACTGAAGGGAGTCTTTATAGACGAACTGAAGGGAGTCTTTAAAGACGAGCTGAATGGAGTCTTTAAAGACGAGCTGAAGGGAATTTTTTTTAAACAATCTGAAGGGAGTTTTTTTAGACGAGCTGAAGGGAGTCTTTATAGACGAGCTCTGAATGGAGTCTTTATAGACGAGCTCTGAATGGAGTCTTTATAAACGAGCTGAAGGCAGTCTTTATAGTCGAGCTGAAGGGAATCTTTATAGACGAGCTGAAGGGATTCTTTTTAGACTAGCTGAAGGGAGTATGTTTAGTCTAACTGAAGGGAGTCATTTTAGTCTAGCTGAAGGCGGAGCTTTTTAGACTGCGATTAGATGCGATTCTTTGTAGTCCATATATATATATATATATATTATAGTGATCTTTTATATTTAAAAAAGTGTTTGTAGATCAGATAGGTCTTCTACAAATTGAATTTTGAAAATGTCCACGCTTATAGTTCTGATAGTCCTTTGAAATTTATTCTTTAAAATTCTATGCCTTAAAACTGATCACCCTTCCATTTCAATTATTATACTGTACTTATAATTATTTCATATAAACCTAGCTACTTTTTATTAAACTTTCAAAAAAAAGGCAAAAACACAATGTCATATTTTTTATAACTGATTTTCAGTTTCAGGGCAGCATAGTATATTAGGATTTTCGTTATTAACCTATAATACCGTTGTACATCTGCGAGTGCAAAAAAAAAACAAATTCCAAATTAGCTACTACAACTCGGCTTCTCATATTTGCCTTTTACTACTCCTCCCCTTCCTCGTCATCTTATCCCTCCGATCTACCAAACTATGGCATTTTCAACACAAAAAGATTTCTTCCATGTTCCATTTATGAATGAAACAGCCGAATTGGAATGTAAAAAGGCTTGTGTCAAACTAAAAAGTTATGAATCATCATTGGATTATCGTTCGTGGGCAAGGGATAAAACGAAGCAGTCCAAATTCCTGGAAGATTTGGTTACGTGTCAATTGCCGGTAAGTATTAAAGAAAATTTTAATTTTTTTTTAAAAATATTAATTGTTGATCATCTCTTTACAACTAAAGGTTGGTGCTGAGCCCGGAGATGGTACTATAAAGGAATCTAGAATTAAAAAGGATATTGGCAATCTGCCATTACCGATAAAGAAATATGACAATTCTGATAAACCCAATATCATTGCTGGCAAATCGGAAATTACTGCTGATAAACCAAAGAGTAGTACCAATTCACCAAACAATGTTACTAATCAATCTCGCTCTAAAATGTCCGACATGTCTAATGCTGCTGAAGTGCATCAATCTAAAACGATTACAATTCCAAGTCAAAAACCAAAAATATCAAAACCAGATATTAGTTCAGAAATTAAAACGGAGGTAGGCCATTAAAGTCATTGTTTTTATTGAACATAAATTTCTTCGTCATATATAAAATTTGTCATTTCGTTTACAACTCCTCGGGAAATTTTAGCGAAGATGCTTTAAAGTATGTATATATACATATATATATATGTATATATATATATATATATATTTAATCAGAATAAAATTATTCACAATTGCTGGCATCATTGCCCAGCTTTAATAGCGGGGCCACATTGTCCATTTTCCAGGCTTCGTGACCGATGTGGGTGGCTATCGATGGTCTGTCAATCAAATTAACTCTAATTTGATATGTTTGTTCTCATTGGATGTCCAAAATTCCTACCCAAAATGATCCATAATATTCCTCGTTTTGGTATATAACGGTAATCCCATTATTCCGTATTTTGTACATGTTCGGTTTTGTTCGCTCGCATTTGAAATTTTGGATTTTCTTTGAGTGTCAAAACTTCCCTACCAAAAATTGTCAATATTGACCCACTTTTTAGGGTAGACCGCCTATAACGCCCATTATTTGGTATTTTGGATACATTTTTAACCCAAGCGGCCAAAATTATTAAATATAACATTTCCCTACCAATAATAACAATAAGGATCAATAATGGCACAAGTTTCTTTGTAGCCCCCTATTATTCGGTAGTTTTAAATTTTATGCTTGTTTTCAAATATCGGTTGATCGCTTGGTAACGCCTCCATATGAAAGTTCCGCTTGTTATAGGTCTTTTGATGGTTTCAAGCGCATTACGAAGTGAAGGTGCTTTGGCAACACAAAACCTTGGTGGGCAAACAACTTCTTCGTAGAATATTTTGTCAATATTAGTCCATGAAGTCCATGAACTTTGTTATGGGGGCTTTGTGGAAACCCCATAAAAAAATTCACCAGTAATTTTAGTTATGTTCAATGTCGTAATCTCCTGGTTAAAATTTACCCTGCATCAAAATCTCGATCGATTTTAGCTATTTTGAATGTCCACATCATGCTCGAATGTTCAGTCCAGAAGAACTTAATGGTGATTTAATTCTTAAAAAACCCCTTTATTTCTTAGAGAATTTTTCCATTCTTCCCTAAAAATATCCCTTGAATTTTCTTTCCCATTCCAGATGCCGCCAGTACAACTCCAATTACCTAACCTATCAGCTGGCGATAGTTTACTTCAGTGTGCCAACATTCACTTAGCCGATTACCAAAAGCTAATGAACATCAAAGATTCGTTGGAGAACCAATTACAAATATCCAATGAACGTCTGCAGACCAGTAACAATGAAAATCTCAAAATCAAAGAAATTCTAACCACAAAACTTGATTCGAATACTAGTAAAGATTTTTATAATAAAATACAACAGCTGACAGCCAATGGAAAACTGAATAAAAATGAAGAAAATGAAATGTTAAAAATTCAACAAAAAATTGAAAATCTCCAAAAAGCCTATGAAATATTTCAAGCTGAAAATAATTATCTGCGACGTTTAATAGAGAAGCTATCACTTCGTGCAACCATTACGGATTTACCTTCAACAGATAACGAAACTTCCAACGATATTAAATATTTACAAAAGGAAATTAATTCATTGCGTAAGGAATGTAAGCTATTGCGTGGAATTGAAGATGATTATCTAAGGAAGAAATTTGATGTGGGAGGACAACCAACCACTATAACTGATGAGGATGCTAAGAATATTAAAATGATCATCGAAGAACGAAATGATTTGCGTAAAAAATGCAAGTCTCTGCAAACCTTGGAAAGTAAAGTTGTCGAATTGCAAAATAAAACCCAGGCCCAGGGAAGTAATTTGGAGGCCCAAGGCAGTTACATTAATCAAATGGAAACTGAAATGGAAAAATGTCATGCGTATTATAAAAATGAACTGCAACAAATTGGTTTTAGAGAAAAATGCCTAAAGGTTAGTTAGAATTTTCTAAACTTTTCTCACAATCTCAATTGAAATATTCTTATTTTAAAATCCAGGAACAATTAAAAGATCTACAGAATGAATTAATCATGGCCAAATGTCAATTACAAAAAATGGAATCTCAACAAATGGAATTGTGTGGCCTGCGCAATGAGTTGGCGAAACGGGATTTGGCTTTACATGATTACGATTGTCAATATCAACAATTAATGGTAAGTTCTACATATGTTTTTAATTTTTATTTATTATTTTTTTTAAATTGTATATCTATATATTTCAAAAACGCAAAAAAAAAAAAGTACAAAGCTAAACGCATACGAGAAATGGGCTATTGTTTTAACATTAAATGCCATTTTAATTGCCAGACAGAGGATCAAGATCAGCATTCGATATGAAGAGGCTTAGGGGGTGGCGTTTGTTTTTTAATTTCTTGAATATTAAATAAAATTATATTTTTTGAAAATTTTATAAAATTCAAATGTTTATAAAAAAGTGTTTTAAAAAAGCTTTTAAATATTAATAGAAGTCCTTGAAATTATAACCCGTCCCATTTTATTAATAGTTTTAAATTGCCGGACGAATTAAAAAAAAATGTTTTCAAAACTACCGCGCTCATTTAATTAAATAAAAACGCCGTTAAGTTCGATCTGACAGTATTTTGCATACCAAAAGTTAGAAATTTAAATTACCTAAAATCGATCAGGACTTTTGTATAGGAGGGCTGGCTATGCACTAAGTCCGTTCGTTTACTTTACCAGTAGCATTTACTCAGTAAGAATTTGCAGAGAGTAAAATACGAATTTTTTGTTCTCAAAAGAGAAAATTGCAAAAAGTAAACGAAGGACATCCAGTAAAAAGGTTGTATGGACACAGCTGATTAAAACAACAAACAATTTGGCGCATACAAAAAAGCAGCATTTTTATTAGAAAAATGAAAAAGAAGCGGTAAATTGATTTTGATTATAAATACTTTCGTTTTTCTTCACCCATTTTAATTTTTAAGATAGTATAAGAAATTTCTTACTTCTTTGTAAGAATTTGCAAAAACTCAGTATATCTAAACTCGCCTTAAACGGCATTTACATTAGAACTTTTTACAAGGTTAACCTGCTCTATGAGGATTTAGATGACAAGTACAAAATGGAATTGACAATTGAAAATAATGTACTATTATTGTTGAAAATTTAGGCAAAGGTCTATTAACCAGGTCGAGTAAGATATGTAGCTGGTCTCCCTGGATTACCTTATTAATAGGTTGGAAAATGGGCCAAGGATAATCAAAATACTTTTAAAGAGAGTGGGACTTTATTTGGGGTCTATACCGAGACTTTGATCGCGCTTGAAAACAAAATTTGAGTCTATCCTAAAAAGTGTGCCCGTACTTATAATTTTTAGTAGGAAGATTTTCTACTCAACAAGTACTCAAAATACAAAATTACAGGCAATTCAATTGAAAAACGTTCCCAAAATATTCAAAATACCAACAATCAAAATGCAACTTGCACTAATATTAAACATTTTTGGTAGGGAGATTTTCTACCCCAATATCATCCAAAATATAACATTTCAGTCAAATTGGTTTAAATGTACGCCCAAAAATAACGAAAAATGGGAGGTACTGTTATATGGGGGCTATCCACAAAAACTTCGTCCAATATTTGCAACTTTTGGTAGGGACATTTTCTAACCAAGGAGAATGCAATATATAGAAATACAGGTCAAACAATACTGAACATTGAGAGGTACTGTTAGATGAGCCTTATACTAAAAGTGCACCAAAGGAACATTTTGTATCCAATCAGAACCTAATTGGATACACGTAACAGTTAAATTGGGGCTTTCCCAAAACTTAATCAATATTGATTATTTCCGATAGGCAGATCTTCTTCTTTTAAAAAGTCTAATTTTTTATTTTCAGGGTGTTGTTAAAGAATTTCAGGCTTTGAAATTGCAAGGCCTTCAAGACAATCAAACGCAAACATGTCAAGATATGCTTGACGATTTGGCATTCTTTACCCATGCCACCCTGGAAGAAATCATGAACGAATTAAAACGTAGAGGCTGCAGCAAAGATCAATATGAATCCGCAGTTCAAGCTTCTGGCTTGGCACATCGCATGGGTGGCGTATCTACTAATGAAGAAATCTCGCATTTACAACACGAACTGGAACGCATAAAAGCTGAACGTGATAATATGTGTAGTGAAGCGCTTCGTCGTTTACAAGAACTTGAAGCGGAAAATGAATGTCTCAAGCAGGATAATTGTCAATTGCGAGAATCCACCAAAGATGCCGATGATAAATTAAGCAAAATGTTGAAAAAAGTCGAACATTTAGATGGAGAATTAAATCAAAACAAAGATGAATTGCGAAAATCTGTTCATGAGTTGAGCGAAGCTAAACGCCTTGTGGAGGATATTAGTAGCGTGCAATTGCAAAATCTGCAATTGGCTAATGCCGTGGGTGCCATTAATTCCAGAGATGATGAGAAGATTATCGATGATTTAAGGCGTCAACTGGATGATGAAATGGCAAAATTAAAGGCATGTCAAGCGGAAAATCAGAAATTAGGCAAACAGGTCAATGAAAGAGACAAGGAATTAAAGACCCTGAAAGAGCTCAATAATAAATTACAACAGGAAACAGATGCGGGAGGAGTATTTAATAAAGGTAATAATCAAGCTGAGGTTATACATCCAGATCCTGATCACATTGATCAAGAACCACAACAAACAAAGAATAAAGATAATAAAATAGATAACAAGGATATTATATATTCGAAAAAGTCAGGAAATAATTTTAAGAATGAAGCTGCATCATTCAATGCAAGCGATCAGCGTCAAGCCAACGGCCATTCAGCGATAATGACCACGGCTTTGGATACTTTAAGACCTTCAGAAAATAATTATGACAATGTTAAATCTAAATTTCATGATCATCATCAAGGTTTGTGCTTTGCCAAGGAACGTAAAAAAATCATGGATGAATGTAAACAAGAACTGGAATTTGCCTGTTCACGTCTGGTTAATCCGAAAAGTAGATTTGCCGAAATGTGTCAGAAAATTCTGTGCAGTGATATTACCGCATTGTCCTTTCGTCAACTGGCCTATATGTATAAAAAGATATACGCCGAGGCGGAAAAACAATTGCCCGGCTGTTTATTACATATGATTGTGAAAGAGCATAGAGATGAAATTTTCGAAATATTAAATATCGATTTACCAAGTCCATGTGGAGATTTTCAATATACTAGAAAAGATGAGCAATTGCCGCCGAAAAAATGTTGTTCTTGTAAGCTACAATTGTGCTGTAATAAATCGGAGGAAATGCTTAAAGAAAAGTGTGAGTATTAAAAGAATTGAAATAAACAAAATAGTTTTTCTTGAGGAGATAGTCTTATAAAAATTGTTTTTAAAACAAAAAAGAATAATCTAGAAATGTTTGTGCTTATTAAAATAAAGCTAAAACAATTTTTTAAATCAACGCTTATTAAAGCCATCTAAAAATATGTTCAAAAAATCCAATTTTATTTAAATGTATCTCAAAATAGTTTTAATAAATTCACGTTTATTAAAACGCTTCTAGAAATATTTAAAATAAACCCAAGATTATTGGATTGCATTTAAAAATATGTTTACGTTAGCTTAAAGACATTTTTAATTAATAAAATAAAATTATTTAATGCAATTTAAATTTAAGAAAGAGCATGAAAAGGTCACGCTTTTCAAAACACCACCATAAATATATAAAGAAATACACTCATCAAAAACCTTATAAACATTTTTTTATTTATTTAATATTTTTTTTTTTTTTTTTTTTTTTTTGAAAAAATCATTGTGAATATGTTCTTTAAAAACTACGAATGACATTATTTTAAGCAAAATTCAACTATCTCAATTTTCGATAATATAAACTGAAATACCATTTCTTTGAACACTATTTACATATAAATTTTAATATTTGTTGTTTTGTTTTTAGTTTACAAATTGGAAAAAGATGTTGAAACTGTTGGTCAATATGTAAAGAATTTGAAAACATTTTCTATGCGAAAATCCTCGGCAAGAGATTTATTGGAAGCAGCAAATTGTAATGAGTAAGTTAAATAATTGTTTATTTAAGTTGTTTTATAAAAAAAAATACATGAAACGACTTTAAGTTCGGCCTGAACGAACTTTTTATGAATTATAGAATATTTAAAATCAATCGGTACTTTAAGAAGGGGGCCTATGGCATGGTAATTTTTTTGTAGAAAGATTTGATACCCACTGAGAAGGTGGAGCCCTAATATCGGGCCGATATTTATAATTTTTGTTAAGAAGATTTGTTTAAAAATAGAACAACAAAAGCCACTTCAGTAAAAAAAAAAAAAACTTTTCAAAAATCCCCACAAATACCCAATATTGAGGACATTTTTTCCAGAACATTTTCAATTTAAGTCCATGTTTCGCATTGGTTACATCGTTGTTTCAGAATATGCAAGGCCCTAAACCATGGCCAGATAGCGAAAAACTAATCTTAGTTCTGAAGTATATTTTAGATTCGTTCGTTTACTCGATATTACAAAATGTTGTTCGTTTACCCAGTAGTCCAGTAAAAGAGAGTGAATTGAGATAGCAGATTTGACAGTTGTGTTACTGAGTATTTGCAAATTCTTACAAGGAAAATTTACTGATATTTAATCAGCTGTTTTGTTATGTTTTGTAAACAAACAACAAAATCGTTCTCGAGCAAATTATTATAAAATGTTGTTCGTTTACCCAATAGTCCAGTAAAAGAGAGTGAATTGAGAAAGCAGATTTGACATTTGTATTCAACTAGCTAGCGAAAGCCAGCTGTTTTTTCTCAAGTCTAATTTAAAAAATTGAACTTTGTTTACGTTTTCTTAATGGAAATCCATTCACAATAATGGGTTTTGACAACAAATTTAGGAGACAGCTGATATCCAGCTACTCTTACTGTTTGACCTCATTTATAGGCCTTGTGCAAATTCTTACAAGGAAAATTAACTCAGTATGAATTTTCTTGTACTATCAGCTGATATGCAACCAGCTGTTTTGTTATTTAAACAAACAACAAAATTGTTCTCAAGCAAATTGATTGTTTAGTGAACTTTATTTTGATTTTATATCGTTAAACCATGGCCTATAAATAAGGTCACCGAGAGAGACCAGCTGGCTATCTGCGCCACTCAAATTTGCTGTCATAATGCGTTATTGTGAATGACTTCCGTTATGAAAACGTAAACAAAGTCGAAATTTTTGACATTAGACTTGAGAAAAAAAACAGTTTTCCGGTTTCGATTGCTACCTGTATGTCCTTATTAATAGATCTTGCGTTAAACATTAAAATAAATGGAGAAAACGCAAGTATTTATAGATAACATTAATTTTCCGCTTGTTATCAATTTTTCAAATAAAAATGGTGCTTATGGTTTACGCCAAATTGTTTTGTTGTTTTAATCAGCTGTGTCGATACAATATTTTTACTGGATGCGGTTCGTTTACTTTTTGCAATTTTCTGACTTGAGAACGAAAAATTCGTATTTACTCTGCAAATTCTTACTGATTAAATGTTACTGGAAAAGTAAACGAACGAACCAAACTTGAGAATTATTTCTTGAGGTACACGATTTAACATTAAACGCGTTCGGTGTAAATGGCACACTTCTTGGAATAAAATTATAATTATTAATCATTCTCCTAAAAATTACTTCATCTTTTTTCTTTCTTCATTACAGACCAACGACAACATATAGAGCAAAATCTCCAACACAAAAAAAGAGTTCCAAGCAATTAAAAAAATTACGATCAAAACTTATAAAGCCTGCAGAAATACATCGTTAAAAAATAATTTAATAACATGTTAGAGACATTTCAAACTTTGGGATTGAAAAATAACTTAATACATAAACATATCCATAAATATTATATACATTATATTACAATTATAATTATATTGATATATTGAATTTTGTCATTATGTAGTGTGTGGCAAAATATCAAATATCTTTAGCAAATTACAATTCCAGAACTAGTGTATATAATATCAAAGGGTTTCGGTTTATGTTTTAAGTTTTTAAAAGAAATTATTTTTTAATGTATAACGAAAATCTTATTATATATTTTAGTTTTAATTATGTAATATCTATCTATTTGTAAAAACACTTATTTTTTATATATAATAAAAATAGTAAAATAATGTAATGTACATTTTGTTTCTTTTTTTGTGTAATTTAAAAGGGGAGAAAAAAGGCGGACACAGTTAAATCTGCATATAATTATTTTCTAATTTAGAATATACGGGCCACTGCTGAAAATTTCGAGGTGGTGCAATTCAAATCCGCCAGGGTCTAAAGACAAATTTCCTCTTTAGCAAAAACATATTCTTGATCGGAAAAGACATGTTATTGTTAGAAAATAATTCGCTGTTAAGTGGATATTTTCTATAGATAGAAAAAAAATTACGCAGTCCCCTTAGAATATTTGTTTCTATAGAAAAAACGCAAAAAATTGTATTATGTGTCTTTAACCCACTTAATGCATGTAGTGCTGCATTCACATACAACCCCAACACAGAGTTGTATTTCGTACATAATGAACACCGCCAATGTGTCAAAAATTACCCACGAAAATTCCCTTTCACATGATGGGATATTTACAACACTACCAATCACTTGACTTGAAACTCGAAAAGTCAGAAATTTTTTTGTACAAGACCAACGTAACTCTTGAGGCGCACAGAACCACATACTTTTCTCCAAGTGAATATACAATTTTAGTGGAAAAAATAAAGAATAAAATAATTGTGTTGATAAAGAAGAACAAAAAACGTCAACTAATAATAAATATTATATGTTATTTTCATAGGAAAGCGTGTGACAGCAGCCTGAATTTTCGCCAATTAGAAAATTTGTTTTTCCCCCATTCGTTTTTCTTCGTTGTAAAGTGAAAAAACAGAACAAAACTGCAAAATGGCTTTGAGCGATGCTGATGTTCAAAAACAGGTAAATAAAGAACGAAAAAAAGGATATTTGGATACCAACAAGAAAAAGAAGATAAAAGTGTCAATGCCAAAAAAAGTTATCAATGAAAAATAATTGTAACAAAAAAATAGTTAAGCTTTTTGACAAGTCAAGATGGCGTAGAATAGAGAAGGCAGCCAGCCAGTCATGGGATATGTCATGTGAATTATTGTTGTCATTTATTAAACAATTTGTAATTGTTTGTGCATGCATCTCTTTGTATAGTTAAAGTTTCATGTAAGGGAATTCCAATTTGCCTGCCATACCAATTGAAATTCTTATTAGATTTTCCTTCTCGTTGTCTTTTTTCCTTTTTTTGTATAGTTATTTTGTTTTTACAGAGTTGAAGGAAAGAAAAAAAAATATATCCAAGATTGCAAACACGAAACATTAACAGAAGTCATGTGATCAAAATGTAGGGCTTTCTCTGTGTGAGAGTGAATGAAACAGCAATAGACTCTCTCTCGCATAACAGAGTATGTTATTAACACTACTATGTGAGAGGCTATATTATCAATGACAGCTGCGGCGGCGGCCAGACAAGCAATCAATGTATGCAACTGTGTCGCCGTTACCAGA